ACTAGACTTAAGGCCATCGCTGATGGCTATGGTATACATTCGCGAGTGATCTGCGAGTATTCGGTACGATATGTCCAACGGATCGGCAATACTGTGTCCATAAGGTTTAGAGTGACTGTTCTGTAAACAGAAAACAAATTAATAAACACTTTATAAACAATTTATACATTTTGTATTCTTTGCATACGTTTTGAATTGATTTAAAATATGGTAAAAAGAGATCCGTTTCATAATTGGATTTAACATTTTGAACCACTGATACAATCCTTTCCAAACCCATACCGGTGTCAACAAAATGCCTGTGCAATGGTTCTAACTTTCCGTTTATGTCTCTATATTGACATTAGAAATTTTAATGCATTAATAAACTAATAAATATATAAATTTACAAAACAAATACCTATTGTATTGAATAAAAACAAGATTCCAGATCTCAATACAATTCTTCATCAAATGGTCCGCATTTGTTGATACCGTGGGCTCTAATAAGTAGTGTATTTCAGTACATATACCGCACGGACCTGTTTCGCCCATTTCCCAGAAGTTATCTTTGGATCCCAACGGTATGACTCGGTCTTTGGCTAAACTAAACATTACATACAATCCATAATTTAATTTTAAAAACTCAATTCAAATCTATACCCAATTTGTAGCCAAATATCTCTGGTTTCAAAGTCTGGTTCTAAACCTAACTGTTTATCGCCACCGAAATACGTGACAACCAATCGGTTGACATCCAGTTTAAACACTTGTGTCAATAGATCCCATGCCATACGACACGACTCTTTCTGGAAAGACATTAAAACATAAATAAAAACCAAATAAAGAGTAAATGAATTACTTTATGGTAATCACCAAAAGACCAATTGCCTAACATCTCGAAGAACGTGTGATGTCTGCCATCGGTTCCAACGGTCGTCAAATCGCAGTGTTTACCGCCGACGCGAATACACTTCTGGGAGTTAACGCATCGGACGTAACCATTCATGGGATCAGTTGGCGATAGTGTGTCCAAAAAGATGGGTTTGAATTGATTCATACCGGCGCTC